AGAGTGTTGTTTTCATGTTTGTGTGTATAGTGACATCTAGAGAGTGTTGTTTTCATGTTTGTGTGTATAGTGACATCTAGAGAGTGTTGTTTTCTCGGTATGATTTCTATATACGTATTCCAGTGAAAATGTTTTCCACACACACATAGTATACCCTTGAAAATGATGCACATGGTACGTCGAAACTAGTTGGGGTAATCATCTTCATATTTTTGTAAATTTGTGTTTGTTCTTCATTATTTAATTCGTGCTTATAAAGCTGTAGATAGCACAAAGTACTACTTAACTTGATTATTCTATGGTTTAGTTTATTCAATGCTATCATTGTTTAATTGACTGTAATATAGTATTTGGTTGGGTAAACAGAATAGAAAAAAATTCCAAGGTTTAAAAGTTAAAATCCTAATTTAAACTCTGAAAAACAAAAACCTTACATGAAACATTGTAATGCTGTTTAGTAAAATGTGTGTATGTAGAATGGGCCATAGCAAAACCCTCAATATAAAAAGGAAATTGAAGTACCAGTAATTCAATAAACCTTTCTTAACGAGCTGTAAAGTGTTCCATCAGCAATATCAATCCAAGTGTGACATTAACATTATTTTGAAAATAAACATATATTTTAACTACTTTTCCTTGATATCCCCACTCCCCATATTTTTGTACCAAAGACATAAGAAAACTTGCAAAGCACAAGTTAATTGTATGTTAAAATTTTTTCTAATTATATATAATTACACAAATTAAACACCACACAATTTGTTTAATATTAAATTATTAGGCTTAACTGATTGGAAAGCAGAACAATTTGTATTGATTAGAATTAGTAACACTGCATGCATACAAAGCATTTCAGTTAGATACAGTACTACTGTTGACAGTAATGCAAATAACTCTTCCACAGAGGTGCATCACAAGTATAAAATAATAATGAAGACTGTATACATCAGGTGACCTCAATCTTGAATATGAAAGAGTTAGTCTGTTATTTGTGGGATCCATTATTAAATTATCTGCCCTTACATAGTAGACCTTGATAGCAGCGCCTAACAACAATCTCACACTATTAGTGAACTAATTTGTAACAGCATGTTTTAAGCAATCTTTATTTTAATTTTTATATGAAATACTGTCATAGCTATGCTTTCAATGTCTTACAATATATTGTATAATACCCGTTTCAAGGTTAATCTTGTGTCATCCTTATTTTTATTATTGTCAATACAGCTTGGCAATTAGTGGAATTTGCTAATCAATTAATTGTTGGGTATATTAATTGATTACATTGAACTAATTGATTATCCTCACACGAGACTTGGATAGTTGGAATAATCCAAAACAGTAATAATTAGAAATACAAATTTTGATTATTTTACTTGATATTAATTGATGTGGTCAAGTTAATTGCCTAGCTATAATTGTCAACAGTGTAATGCATCTCAAATAGGCACTTTGTACATGTTAAGATGTTGGATCAACCCAAGTTGTTTCTTTTTCATACCAGTTAAGTCTAGTCTTCTGCAGGCAGATAAGATCTGGAAAGCTTGTGGCTATATAGAAAATCTTAATTCCTGACAAAAATTACCTTTGACCAACTTAACTTCTCTCAATTAGTCTTTCTGTCTCAACTTAACAATATGTTGTATCCCACTGCTGCAGTAACCACTAACTTCGTCTTTTGAAAACCATGCATTTATTCAAAATCAAATAGTTGTCTTTAAAAACCTCAGGGTCTTACCAAGTACACACCAACACAAATGTCTTGAATGTTACAGAACTAAAAAAGAATGTGATAGTTTTATGGGTTTTTTTCTGGATCCAATTTCTCATCAACTTTTACTCAATTTTCTAAAATATGCTGAAAATATAACAAGAGTACTTCAGTATGAAACATTTGTACTTGTGTAACAAATATTTATAAAGAGTGGCACACCATATCATCAGATATTCCAAATATACTTGTGGTCAATATAACAGGACTAGGTGGTTTTTCTCTATTTGCTATTGTACATTTTTCAGTAATTATATTTTGAGTCATGATAGCACACAAAGAATATGTTGGGAAATATTATGAACATAAATGTCCAAATTCCTATTATCAGCAGTTTAATAAAGTAAAAACAAAGAGTTCATAAATAAATCAGTCCTATACTGCTATTTTATTGAAGAATTTATTAGTGTATAGGCAGAAAGAGATAACAGGATCTGATAAGCCATTGCAATAAACAAATTGGTATTTTTCATACAGGTTTTATTTTCAGGACCTTATCTGAGCTAGCAACTGAAACATGTATTTGAAAGAATATTAACAGTATTACTTGGCCTTGCAGGGTTTCAAGTTTAATAACTTAGAATTTTAAAACATTTTCGTTTACTTTGAAAAGTTCCTTGATTCTACAAAGTACAAAAAACACCTCCTGTAAACTATGGACTGACTACAACTGCTCAGTAATCAGTTTTGTTTGTTTCTTTTATCACTGAACCTTTTGAATATAAGACTAACTACATAACAGTACTTCTAAAAACTAAAAATAATGCATTTGTTTCAGTTAGTTGCATTAAGTTTTCATTATGAAAAGGTTCAAGAAATCTGAGTATTTCTGATTAAAAGTATCAAACAAACCAATTCATAGTTTCACTTCAATAAACTGCATATGTAGTAGGCATCAAGATGAGAGAACTATTACCTTTAAGCAAATTCAACTTGGCAATTATTAAACATGCTGTTAACATCACAGTATCCAATTGCAATCTGAAACAAGGGAAGCTGCTTTAAGATATACAGTACAAAAGTAACTTTATATTGGGTTAATGTTGAAATATTGTATACTTTATCATCATCAGTACTTAAAACATGCAATTTAAAAAAAATATGTTTACAAATAACTACTGTGAATTGATCATACTATTACAAGTATAGGACTGTTAACAGAAACAACATCCAGTTGTCTATGGACGATGAAACGTTCATCTGTTGTGTTAGCATTTTATGTGACAGGAACTGTCTTGTTTAGTGGAGGTATTGAACTGATGTTTGGCAGAATGGAAAGATAGAATTATCAGGATTAGTATTTACTGGAGACATTTTAGTATCCATATGATGAGAAAAGCATGGACATTAAAAAACAGACCTCCTTAGACCACATCACTAGATCAAATTGAGAGTTGACAGAATCTCCATTTACTATAACTACTGACGAGCTTTAGGACAAGAGATGGAGAGGATTTAATATTCCAGGACAAGAGATGGAGAGGATTAATATTCCAGGAAAACAAAAAGATGTACCAGTCTTGCAAAACCTTCTGCTCCAACACTTGTGTATGTTGGAACAACTGTTCCTCAAAGTTAAAAGATGTACCAGTCTTGCAAAACCTTCTGCTCCAACACTTGTGTATGTTGGAACAACTGTTCCTCAAACTTAAAAGGTTTTTTTCTCCGACTTCTAACCGTGAGAGTATAAGGTTCTAAAGAGACTAGTATTTGATCAAGTCACAGTGTTTATTTCTAAACATGATTTGTTTTTGTTTTTATATTACACGTTTTAAGTAGTAAAGATGATAAAGTATACAATATTTCAACATTAATCCAAATTAAAGTTACTTTTGTACTGTGTATCTTAAAGCAGCTCCTCGTTTCAGATTGCAATTAGATATTGCAAATAAATTCAATTTATCATCACTTATAAGAACTGTAAAATAATAAACTGTAGTACCTTTTATTTGGACTCTTAACATTTACAATCATAACTGTTAAAAATCAAATACACTGGAAGCCCACTTGTATGCCTTATGGAAACTAAAATTTCTTCTTTCACTTTTACTAATAACATTAATTACAAGGTTAAACTTTCCAACCTAAGTGTTCACTTAGAATTATCTTTGATGCTACCTAAAAATTACATTATAAGAATGAAGCCCATTAGTCAAATTTTATCTAAGCTATTATAAAATTAAATTGCAGTTTAAGAAAGGAGCCATCATACTCTATGGACGTTGTTTTCATCTCTCTTAAATATAATCTAATAGAATTAAAATTTCAGAGTCAAACAACAAAGAGAAATTATATTTATGATCTCCTTACAGTACCTTAACCATAATATTACACTTATATCATACTTAAAATATCTAAAGAGTATTTGTTTGTGTGTCTGGGCAATTTAACATTTAGTTTGCCTATTCTTTATGCCAACATATTTGTTTGCTGTCTTCTAAAGAGGCATGCAAGCTCTCTAACTTGGATAGCATTTCTCATAAATACTTAGAGTTCAAAACACTTTATATAGCATTTTTAGTTTAAGAATGTTTTTTAAAAATAAGAAAAGAAAAAAAAAGAAATCTCCTAACGTTTGACAATTCAAAGGTTTTGAGGTTTTTTCTGGGATAAACAAAAATAGACATTATAAAATTAGTTATTTGCTGATTGGTAAGTGTGTATATCTGAGTCACAGAAGTTCCCATTTAGAATGAGACTGATTTCTTACAGTTTGTTAACTACATGTGGACTAGATAAATTCATTGCCATCAGTTTTGTTCTAACACTCATTTAAAAAAAAAAAAGAGGGGGGTAAATTACTGGACAACAACTTTATCTTTGAATGTATTAAGATAATATTTCTCTTCAGACTGTCTTAAGAATAGAAAACATGTCAAACTTTACTGAAATGGAGTATATTTCAATCACTGGACAGATAAAAATGTTTTAAATCAAATTTCAGTTCTAAACAGGTAAGCTTTAGAAAAATACACATACACTTTAAAGGTAAACAATACAAAACTACTAAATATCTCCAAATTACCTCCACTCTGTTCTGTAAGCTAAACTTGCATTGTTCTTCTGTTTGTAACATCAAGAATAAAGTGTTTAGGGAATGCTCTGCTAAGGAAACTACATATTTGTTAACTGGATTACGGAAGAATTTAAGTTATAGGTTACCTCCAGTACATAATGTACCTGTACACTGTAGTAGTTAACATTGTTATACCCTAGTTTCTGGCAGACTCCGAGATCGGTGCAGTCGTGTCCCAGGGGTTAAGGATATAATTGTTTTTTTCCTATCTTTCTCTGCCTTGCATGCATCTGCTGTTTGTTTTCCAACAAAAATAGAAATTCTCTCATTGGTAAGTGTAGCTTGAGAATTTGCTGGGGTGTTTGCTGTTTCCATAGTAGCTGTGATAGATAAATTATTGGAAACTATACTTAAAGGAGAACTGGAGGCACTTCCATTGGACTGAACTTGATGCACCTCTTCTGGAAGAGCACTGCAAATGAAGTCATTCTGATCAGAAACCTGAGATCCAGTTTCATCTGGAGTGAAGTAAGCTGATGTCTGACTGGAGTTGTCACCTTGGTCCTTCTGGCTGCAGTACTGTAGCTGAGCAAGTGCAACATTATTTATTGCTGGTACAAACACAGGCTCTACCAAGATTTCGGGCTCAAACATTATGGAATCTGTTCTTGCACAAACATTGCGACAACTCTCGAGGTTTAGATTCTCTAGAATTTTATTCAAATGCTGTTGTTGTACCTTGTAATTTTCTCTTAGCTTGTACAATTGGTGAGCACTGAATTTACGGATACGATTTCTCTGAAATACATAATTTTCTCTCAGCCTATCAATCTGGCCTGTACTATAATCTCGTACCCTCTGCACTTGTTGGTAATAATTATCTCTAATACGGTCAATATGCTGTGTACCATAGTCACAGATATCTCTTATACGTTCTGTCTGCAATGAATAGCCTTCTCTGAGCTTCTCCATTTGTTGTATACAGTTATTTTTTATTCTCTGTACTTGAACACTGTAGTGGTCTCGCAGACGATCAAGTTGTTGGCGCCTATATCCTTCCATGTTTTCTAACATACGTTTAATATGCTGTGCTTTAGTGGAATATGCAATTCCACATGGACATGGACATTCAATTCCAAACCGCTTCAAAATAAATTGAATTAAGATTACCATCAATGTAACCAAGAGGAATCCAAAGCTTAATGCAAAGCCCACTAAGATACTAATAATTTTTATATTCCCCAAAAATTCATAGTCGAGACTGACATGAATATTCACAACTTCCTTACTTAAAGGGTTCGATGCTATGCATCGAAAATGACCACCATCCATACGCTGAATCTTACTAATAAAGAGACTTCCATTCTTAAGTAATAAAAACTGGTCATCTTTTGAGTGATTAAAACTGTCTGCCCACACATTGTAGGTTCTTTTGGGACTACTTGTGAGTAAAAATTTAGTTGTATTTTCATACACAGCACTCCAATGGAAGACTTCATTCTGAGGAGTTATCCAAGTGAGGTTTGGTGTTGGACTGCCCTCTGCCTGACAGTTGAGTATAGCTGAAGATCCCACTCTGTACTGTATTTTATAGACATTTTTCTGAACGGTGGTGTTTGTACATACCATGTTTTTGTCTAAAGCATCCAAGAGTGTATGACCAGCTAAAGGACTGGGATTAAAACACAGAGTCTTGAATGGGTTCAAAAGATGAGCATTGGTATGATCTCCAAGCCAAGGCAACAGCCAGTACATGTAGCAATCACAGTGCCATGGATTTCCAGCCAAATTTAACCTTTGTAAAATTGACAGTGTGTCAAATACACCTTTTTCGAGTGTGATCATATTGCTTCCCATTATATCCAAGACTTTCATTTTAGTTAATGGAACAAATGCATCTTTCGCTATTGAAGAAAGTGAAGAGTTTGCAATTTGCAGCTCTTCCAGGTTCAAAAGGCCATTGAACATTGGCTTGGTTATTCTTGAAAGGCTCTTGATATTTGACAAGAAAAGTTTTTTCAAGCAAATGGAAGAACTAAACAAGTTATCCAGAGTTGCAAGGAGGTTGAAACTGAGATCTAGAACTTCTAAATTGCTCAAGGGCTTTAATGTAGTTTCCTGTAGAAAACTAATATTATTCATACTCAAGTTCAATTTCCTTAGTTCCTTCAGACCCTTAAAACTCAGCATTCCTATTGACATTATCTTATTGTCACTAAGATCTAAATATTGTAAGGTATTTAATGCTGAAAAAACTACATTACTCAAATTCTGGATGTGATTACTTCCAAGCCTTAGCTCTTTCAGGTTTTTAAGGTCACTGAACCAGTCATGCTGTACTTGATATAAATTATTCACTGAAAGATCTAAGATTTCTAATGAATAAAGTTTAGAAAAGCTATGCAAATCAATCTCTAATATTTTATTATTACTTAAATCAAGTAATTTGAGTGACTTTAACTTATTGAATAATGAATGTGGTAACTCATTAAGCTGGTTATATGAAATATTAAGCAATTCTAAACTTTCAAATAGATGTAAACTATTAGAAGATAAAGTACCGTATAATAAGTTATGACTTAGGTCTAAAAGTTTGAGCTTCGTGAAAAAGTTATGAAACTTCCAGTTGACGTACTTCAGCTCATTATGTGAAAGAATAAGTTTCTGTAAATGTGATAAACCTTGAAAAGAGATATTCAGTGTTCTGAGCCGAGTTCTTGATAAAGTTAAGGCAGTTGTATATGTTGGAAGTGTAGCTAGAGTTGTTAAGTTTCTGACTATACATTCCACTTCAGTGTGGCTTTCATACGAACGACACTTGCATATACTTGGACAGGAGTCATTATCATGCAAGAAGTGGTCAATTTTTAGTGCAGATGAAGTTCCACCTATCAGCATTGTTTGAAGTGTGGGTTGACTTAGGTGTGAAGGTATCACAGCACTGCACTGACATGTGAAAACATACAGAATCAGAACTGTTGTGTAAACCTCAGCTTTCTTCATTTTCCTTGTTTGTGTGCTTGATGATAGCATACTGCTATAGCATTTTTCTTCTGGAAATAAAATAATTGATATATATTTTTTTTTAATTATGAATTACAGATAAATAATATGGGAGAAGAAAGAAAAACTAAAAATGTATAACTTAATTGTTTTCTCATCTTAGAATACGTGACACTAATAACAATACCGTGATGGTACTTGAACATCATGAATCTGACTACGGTTTCAGTATTTTTCAGAAAACAATTAGCATGTTTGAAAACTGCTTAACAGAAGTAACTAGGAAGAGTTATGAGCTTTCATGCTACACCTGAGAAAGCTGTGCAAGGTATCAAAATCACCCTAGTTAAACTTGTACACATTTTATAAATATACATTTACCATCCCTATGCTTTGATATCACTCTTACATACTTCCAAAAATAAATAAATAAAAATGAAATAAACAGTTTAGAGATAAGTTGTCTCCCCTTAATGATTACCTCTATAAAAAGGTAAATTTGGTATAAATCCTCTTAGTGATTTTTAATTAGTGTTGGTCACACTGATAACTTCTTGAAAAGGAAATTAAATCAGACTATAAAAACTTTATGAAGCAATGCATGTTTGTATTAGACATTTTTGTTTTTCTGACAAACTTTTGAGTGGTATATGGTAAACTACTTACCATCCAATATTATGCCAATTTAACAGAAAAGCTGTGAAATTGAAAATAGTTCAATAGTTATAGTTCCCCAAGCTAATTTCAGTGAAAATAAAAGCTGTTACTTGTTAACACGTTCAGTCTTCAACGTTGATACTCTGTGTACAGTCCGGGGGTGGGGTGGGGGGTGTTGCACAGGGGAAATTACTGAATAAAATACTGGTACAGTCTTACTGGTTTTCAAAATTGAGATTGTTAACTTTTTAACACATTCATTGCTACATCTAATCAGTTAAGTCATTAGTTCCTGCACCAATTAACAAACTGCTTATAATTTTTAGAGTAACGACGTTTAAATCGAATAATGGGCATATATAATACATCAGTAACAGAAATTGCTAGGTAAAAATTATTCGTTAAGGGTGAATGGTTTTAAAGCTTGTGTTCAGTTATTCTGACCTAACTAATGTAGTTTCAGCAAACCAAGTTTTAACACAAAAATTCTTAACAGCAATACTAAATGTTTGTGACATGCAGTGTTTAGTTAGGTGTTCTGTAATGTTTCTTTGCAGCAGCTGTATTTATACACACGCTGTAATTATTAGTTACGCTCACGTGAAAATAGTTTTACCTTGGTAAACCTGACTTTTCTGCATGTTCTCATTACATTCCCCACATATACTGTAAACTAGTTTATACCCTTACTAAATTTACAGAATAGCTTACCAAAAAAAAAACAACTTAAGATGGGTATGGTCAGACTGTTCCCAGAAGCGATTAATGTAAAAGATTTAAAAGAAATTGTCTGTTATGACTTAGTTACAGTATTATATTTGTTAATTAGGCTATTATGAGAACGAGCTAGAATTTTGGATGTACGTGTAGTTGTGCTTACAAAACCAGACCGTAGCTAAGTTGTCTACGCATGACCTTGAAATGAACTGCCACGTTCTTGAACGTCTACATTGACGCGCGTGTGTATTGCTGTTAAACAAAAACACCGTATCGATTTTTTCATACCAGCTGAATTTCAATAATAACGCCGAGAAATTCGGTTGCACAAGTCTGTCATAGAACATAATGTTACGGGAAATCGAAGCGCCACTATCAGGTACTTATTATGAAAAGAAATATTCTGACGTAAGTAGTTTGTGACCTTTGGAAAAAACAGATCAAATAACTTGCTGCTACACTACTTCGTTATAATTTACAGACCTGTCGGAGATTAAAAATAAAATCTGTAAAAATGTAGTTATTTACTAATTTTCCTCAGCTTCTTACATCTGATGAAAATGTTTTGGGTGAGGAAAAAAAAAATTGGCATCCCACTTCAAAACCAATGCTGACTTCAAGAGGCATGTGTTTAGTTGAATCAGGATCAGCCGTAACGTAGTGGTTAGCCTTTCATGCTGTGTATTGAAGAGTGCAAAGTTCAAGACCCGATGCCGCTAAACACACACTGTACTTTTAGCTATGAACCCATCATGAAAGTGGCAGTCAGTCCCTCTATTCGGTTCCAAGCACCAGACAAAGTACTTTTGGCGGCGGCTGCTGCTGACTGGCTGCCTTTCCTCTGACCTGACCTTTTAAGCTCAGATGCACATAAGGTGTCATTCGCGTTTAAAATTAGTTTTCAATTTAATAAAGCTGTGAATATCTTAAGTGAATTAACAGGGGACTATGTGGCTTGATTAAATTAAATATATTCCAAGAAAACTCGCTAGGTTCGTTTTTATATTTTTTCATTCCATTTAGGAGTTTCGTTGCATTTGATAACTAACTAGCAATAATCAAGTACTCTAGATTAGCGTATTTTCGTGTTAGTTACATTTATAATTATGTAACCGCACAACTAGCTATAGACAGTGAAAGGCAGTAGAAGCTAAGACGCTGTGGGTGTAAGCACTCAGCTTCGTACCCTTATTTGATTGACTTTACGATTTTCCATGACGGCTGACTAGATTGACATCGGCGTTTGGATTTTGTCTGACAGATGGGATATTCCCAACGCATTTGGGTGCTATAATAAGTTGACAACCAGGACCGATAACGGTATTGCGATATATAAAAACTGGTAATGTATTAGGCCCAGATATATATACAGGTCTTTTATATCTTCATGCAGTGTTGTACATGGAACATATCTGTTGTAATTGTTTTATTTTATAATTAACCAGTGGTGTCTAAATGTCCTACTTAATTGTTTAAGGGTTCTAGTTGTCCTGGATTCTTATAAATAGTACACGTAAATGATGAGTAATTAGATAAAAGCTTCGTATTAGAATTGTGTTTGCAGTACAAAGCAAAGGAATATTTAAAAACTGTATATATTGTCACGTGATCTCGATGACGCAACAATATTATTAGTTGTTAAGCATGTGTTTACATACAATACTATAACTGCTCGAAGTGTCCATATTATATATACATCTTTCACTGTAGTGTGCAAAATATTTTTACGGCTTTCATTATTCTATATTCAGCTTCTGCTGTATCCATGACAATATGCGTTTTTTCTTACCTTATTTTTTTTTCTTATGCCTCTGATCTTTTTTTTTCACGCCTTGTTTATTTATATTATAAAACAGTAAGTAAAATTAAGTTAGCGTCAACTATCTAAATAATAAAAAAGTGTTGTTGTATTTAAATAATTACAAAACAAAACTAGCATATGTAAAGTTTGTAATGTCTTTGTAAATAAAATGCTGGCGTTGATTCAAAATTCAGTCAGGTTACAAAAGGTAGATCGATCGAGTGAAAACTACACGCAAACTCGTAGTTAGAACAAGGCAATCAGACCTTGTAGAATCCTGAAACTTGTAATAATCAAGTTTCTACAATACCCCCCCCCCCCACCTTTTTATGCAGATGTTGGAGTAGTTTGAAATGTTAAACAAGTTACGTCATCCACACAAGGAAACGATACAAGCCGTTTTGGTCAGTTCAAGTTGTAGTATTCCCGAATTCGACATTAAGGCCACGTAGTCTTAATAAAAAGCATTAAGATAAGGCCGCAGCTAGGAAATTATAGTATAGGAAGGGACTACTTTCTAAACACTTAGATCTATGTACTTTAGCCTATATCCCCCACAGTTCTATATCAAGCTATGCCCATGTACTAGAATATCAAATTGAAAGCCATTTTAAAGCTACCGATTTTTGAAAAATAGCTAAAACGCTGTAAGAAAAACAAAAATGTCAACGTTTTGTTAAAATTTTACTTTGTGGAAATGTTTTTCTTATGGGGGATTTTACCTATAGTAACTACAGTTCTGTTATTTTGTTTTTGCAATTTTTGTGGTAACTGCAATTTTACCGCTTCTAAATATTGTAAGGGTAAATTAAGTAACAGTAAAAAAATAAATAAATAAAGCTTCCAATGATATAAGTAACAAATGTTACTGAAGTCACTTGTTAGGTAAGCAGCATTCCAGCCATCTCATTATAACTGCAGTATTTAAACTTTATTTTTAAAAATGTGATAATTAAAAATAATTCATAATAAATAATACTGATGTAATTCCTGTCCAGCACGTGCATAATGCTATTGTGTGTTTCTTACTCTCTTTTTTTTAAGCAAGTAATAAACTATTAATTAGCTTTTACCATTGTAATCTACACAAGATGTCACTGCTGGTGTAGTTTAGATGAATATACAATCCCAGATTTTTTTGTTACTGCTTATCTATATAATGTATAAAAAATATAATCATAAATCATAAAAAGAAGGTTCCCATCACTGTCTATATTCCAATACTTGGGAGTAAGAAACACTGAACTCAATTTATTCTTTTCTTGAAGCTGAGTTTAGGTTATAATAAAATATGAAAAATGTAAGTATGATTAGGAAGTATTTCCTCTACCTATTTTAAGTAAACAGAAGATGAAATACTGTTGTTGTAGGCTTACACTGACTGAGTGTTAATAATAGTGTACAGAATACATATATAATTAGAGTTTGCAAAAATTACTAACTTCAGTATTCCAAAATGAAAAACCTATTACTTATTACCATAATAGAGAAATCAAATATAAATAGTCAATACAGACAGCTATTAGCAAGTATTGTAACAACGAAAATTTCATGTCATAAGTAAATAAGAAATGTAACATAGCATTTTTTTTTCAGAGTTAGTTTAATTATTAGTATTGGTTATACTGTTTAATATGAAGAGTATTTTGCATTGTTAGCCTAGTATTATGAATTTAGGGCTATTTTAAACCTCAAGCTGACTATTAAAACCGAGTTCAAGAGGTATCAGAATTATAGCTAACAATATTATAATAATAATAAGGGTATCCATCTGATGGATTAGCATATTCTACTGGCTACAAGTCTATTAATTTTGCTTGTTTTTGACAGTACATTCTTCCAGTTAGACTGGTATATAAAAGTAGTTTCATTATTACTTATTTATTACTTTTTCAATACTGATCTAGTTCAGTTAGCTTGCTTTGATCTGAAATTACCAAGCTTCCTCGCAAATTGACTGTACTTGTATTGCTTATTAAGTAATATGCAAATTTGCTTTAAAATATCCTATAACATAATTTGCACCATAAAAGTTTAATATAAATATGTTGAACAAAATATCAGTTTCCTTGGGTTTATAATAATCATTAGTTCCCAAGAGTTAGAATGGCCTATCAGTTATTCTGCCTGAGAATTAGAATGATATATCAGTTCTTACAAATGAGAGTACTTTCTAAAATAAAAGAAACTTTAATACATACACACACACACACACAAAATGTGAGTGCCTGTTGCTTTTAAGGAATCTTATTTTGACCTCAATGTTCTAAAATCTTGTACAAGTTAGTTTGATTTTGGATGGTGGTGTCTTTACACTAAGAACGTTATTAATCATTTCACCTGTGTACTATTGTAAAATAATAATGCAATGTTACATAACACTAGAAGTAAGTTTGTTTAAGTGTCTAACTGTTATTGAAATTAAAATATGGAATCAACTTTGTAACCTAGGGTTAGATGATTCTTAGAGTTTAATAATTTTTACCCCTACGATAGTTTTTATGCATGGTCATCCATATTTATCAGTTTCAGCATGATACACAAAATTGGTAAAACTCCGAGATGAAGACTGACAGGCAAATCAACAAGCTGACATCTTGTACGAAACTTTACAGTTGTCATGTCCCATTTTTCACTACCCCAATTTTCCATGATGACAATGTTGTTGTAAAGGTTTCTAACGTTAGCTAGGTTCTTTAGGATTATTTGGCAAGAATAAGAACGCAACGCCCATTCTGCCTAATGATAATGAAAGCATGTTATTCCTTCAACTACAAGTTCTGCTTTTAAACTAACAATGGGCCTAACTTCACAAATAATGCTAAATAGTTGCTGTCTTACCAACTTTCTCATATTTATATTACTTTGTCAAAAGAAAAGCTCACAATATTAAACTTTATTAAGTAACAATGAAACTCAATAATCAATAAACCACTTTAACTCACTAATCAGTTAATCTACTGTAGTTAGCCCAACTTGGTTTTCATATCATTTAATTGCTTCCTTCACTTTCAAGAAGATATCCATTTACAATACATGCTAGTCTGGCAACAAACAATACAAACATCTACATTAAGAACAGTTATTTTTGTCTAATGAAACTAACAAAACTAAGATTAAGGATGACTTTGGACAAACACACACATCTTTTATTTTTAATCACAGTAGCTTTGTTATGTTAACCCAATTAGAAAAAAAAAGTTACTGGTAATTCTTGTAGGCTACATTTTTAACCCAAACAGCTTACTTGCATATTCAGGATGGTTTTTTTTTTAAATACACATAATACATTTTAACTTAATACTACCCTCAACACTCCTTTTAAAATTGTTGGAAAAATGTTAGTTATTATTCTTTATTTTCTTAAATAGTTTCTTACACAAAACTTTAAATCAGTGTATTTGTATTAAGATCCAATGTCAATGTAATGCTATTTTTTTCACCATATTAATGAGTTTGGTTTATATATGCTCTGCCTAAATTATGGGACATGAAACAGCATTTTGAATTCATCAAGATCTTCCCAACTCCCTCAACAAATAGAACACTAATCATTAAATCTAATACTGGATCCCAAATATTCATCAACCAATTTATTAAAAATTTATGTAAGGTTGCAGCCTTTACCACTCTAGGTGGCAGTTTGTTCTACAAGTGTCTTACTTTAATGAACTAGAGATGCAACAAACTTTTACAAGTCTTAAATTTATGATCTCTTGCTCTACTGCCCTCAGAATTTGACAAGAAAAATACCTGATGCATCAATTTTATTAATTCTCTTAGTGATTTTATATATTTCAATTAGGTCAACCCCAACCCTCTTTTTAAGAAAAAGTATTGAGATCTCAAATTTTTTTATGTCATTTATGGGACACAAAATCATAGCAGATGTTTTAACACCTTGCTTTATCACATGTTGATCATCTGTAACTGATTTAAAGTCGAGTCTTTCTCCAAAATTTGAGATAATCAAGTTTGAGGTTTTATATTTTATTCATGGTGCTTGAAATATCAGTCGCAGCACAGAAAGGTGACCCAAAGGAGTTTTTTATTATTATTATTATACTAAAAAGGTTGTTACTCAATGTTTACTAAAGCCTTAAAGTAAAGGAAAATGTAAACAATATTATTAGTCACTCAGTAAAAAGTCGTGTCTTCATGGTTCTCCAAAATAACTTGTGCTTATTTTATTTTTAGTTATGTGCGAAGACACAACTTGTTAAAAATGAATTTGAAATTATAAAACTCAATTGTATAGGTGGTTATAACAAAATGAAGCAAAGTCTTTGAAATAACTCACCCAACAAAGATATTTACTTGTATTCCTTACAGTGTTGAACATACGCAGCTGATTCAGTGCGGAAAAGGACTGCCAGGGTCATTGGGGTGCCTACGTTTTTAACGGTGTCCACGACTTTTTAAGGTCTTTACAATGTCATATAGCTTTAACTTAAGTTTAAGATATAATCAGTTTGTGTATAGACTCCATTCATATAATTGACCATTGCAAGAAATAAGTAATAAAAATGACGTTTGCTTTTCGTGTGTTTTTATCCAACTGAAATAACCCGTGTTGAAAAATCATAAATATACACAAACGCACCACCTCTACTTAGGCCTACCTAAACTCGTACGCACTAGATTTCCGCTTCTCCACCGACAAGTTATATGAACTGGGCTTATACCACTAACGTACGTTTGAGGGGTGGGTGTGTGGATTGAACAAATAGTAGCCTTCCAAGCCTCTGCTTTTCGTGTGTGATAAATCTTGATAATAGTAGTAGGTACGTAATTGTGTTTGCAAGTTTCTAAAAATAATCACCCGTTGTTTAAAGGGAATGTTTTTCTGTAAGGTGCATTGTTGATTGTATATAAGAAATTCTATTAACGTAGATGCAAAATTTATTGTATTCCCCCTCCCCTTTTTTTTTCTTTTCTTTTTGTGGAAGGTAAATTTTAAACAATGATTTCTCAAAGCAGATATATTAATCGAAGTGCGTTGTTTTGTGGGTGTACATCGTATCTTTTGTAGATACCGTAGACTTGTTTGTGTCATAGAAATTTATCATCACCATTGGATATTATATATTCCGTCTAATTACGTGTGCATGTGAATAAATCTGTTGGTTTTATTGTGTAACAAAGCCATGCCTACCATTTTTAAACAAACGCCGTATTTAGTTTTTGTTTTAAGAAATTTTAAAACAGGTTTGTTTTCTGGAAAATAATCGCATACTAGAAAAGAGTATTAAAAATAATGTTACGTCGTTTTTTATGACAATATGTAGAAGTAACGTATTAAAAAGCAAATGTAATAAGAATAAATGAAAAATAATTGAGATAATTTCAATAAAAACTGAGCTGGTTATGTTTTATAGATATGCAGGAAATTTTTGGAAAAGAAAAAAATACGGAATGTTTGTTTTTTTTGTAGACTCCTCAAGAGAAAAGATAAGGGAGTACAGTCGTACCGTAAAGATAAATTTCGCTGATATCATGTAACTCCATAGGTTGTAGATCGTAAAGTTTAATTATGAACTTGTACAATAGACCAAACTTGCTCAATTTGTATAGTCTGCATTCGGCACGTAATTTTAAACAAACAAGTTTCCATTCTGTAAAAATGGAACTGTTTAATACTCGTATACATATTATATGTTGTTCTGTAAAGTAAGTGGAATTCGCCAAATATAAATCATATGGAAACGTGATTGTTTATTGTTAATTTTTAAAATAGTCTAAAAATAAATAAACAGTGGCACAGCGGCATGTCTGCGGACTTACAACGCTAGAAATCGGGTTTCGATACCCGTGGTGGGCAGAGCACAGATAGCCCATTGCATAGCTTTGTGCTTAACTAGAAACAAAGAAAAACATGCATAATAAAACGAAAGTCTTTCAAAACGTCATCTTTTTTAACTGAGCTGTTTGTAGATTAGTCTTTCAAGACCTCTACAGGTGTTATTCTTAACTATGCAAATAATGCCCATTTTACCCTTGTTTTTCATCATGAATACTATGCCTAAATCATACATATATATAAGGCAGTATAGATCTTATGTTTTGTGCAACAAACAACTTGTTCTTGTATGGTATTGTATCTATGAAGGTAGAAAAACTTTGGTGTATCTAGGGTGCCGGAAATTAGACAAATATATGAACGTCTATTTCAGAATGTGCAAAGCGTTTGAACACGTACTATTTGTGCTCTAAACATCCATCACAGAATGAATACACAGCTGGCGGCAATAAAGGCATACACAGTTCCACTAGAAAGCTTCTGTACCTGTAACAGAAGTAAACACAAACACAGGGGGATGTATATGTGGAGGGGGACGAACGACCACCCAAATATTATAAAAGGTCCACTATCTTCTGCTTTTTATTTAATAAACACTTAACTTCCATGTAATTCACTTTTTGTGTGTTTGTAGAAGAAAAGGTTTACACTAAATTTATAATAGAAAAAATACACCCCTTTTAGTAGTGCTGATTACGCCCCTACACGGACAGATACACACACACACACACACACACTTGCATATATTTTTAAATGTCCTATCAACGATCAAGAGAAGTTTTAGAAGGATTTATTTTTATGAATAATTTATTTGAATATTAGATTTGCTAAACTATTTTTGATAAACTAGGCCCAAGGTTAGCGGGAAAAAATAATAACCCTGACCAATAAATTTATTCTCCTTGAACAGCAAAAATTTGCGTTATAATCGTAGTCTTTATTTTTTAATGATCTTTTGCATGTATTATTTATGCACAAACAAACAAAAAAGTATTGTAGACGTAAAGGTGTTATCGCCTTTCCAGTGGCCCAGCGGTAAGTCAGTAGGTTTTCGATACCTGTGGTGGGCAGAGCGTAAATAGTCAAAAATACTTTAAAAAAAAAAGGAAATTAACACTGAAATTTATACTCACTTATTAAAGATTTTGATTTTTTAAGACAAATACAAACAAAATCAACTAAAATGCCCCCCAGTAGCACAGCGGCATGTTTGCAGACTTACAACGCTACAAACCGAATTTCGATACCATGTTGGGCAGAGTACAGATAGCTTTGTGCTTAACTACAAATAAAATATTTTGTATGAAATGGAATTTCTTGTAAGGTATTATTTTATGAAAAAGTTCCTATAAAATGGCTTAATTTGTATACTTACTCCTGTTTTTTCCTGGTATTTGATGTGACATTCCTGTAATCTTATTATATTTTGAGTCAGTTTCCTTTACATTTTTGTAGTGTTTTGGGGGCGTGGCTTAGTAATTAACTGGCTGGACTGTGAATCCAAAGGTTCTTTGTTTACTATAAAAATGCGCTCCGTACTTTGAGGCCGTGGATGCGCTATAAGAGTGACGGTCAAGTCCCACTGTTTGATCAGCCAAGCGTTGATAGTGGGTGCTTACCTTCCCTTTTAGTCTTTTAAGTTGGAAATTAGGGACTGCTAGCGCAGATGAACCTTATGTAGGTTAACGCGAAATCTTTTAAACAAACTGGAATTTGGTAATTGTTTGTTTGTTTGTTTTATTCCATGGTCTTAAATCAGTTGATTATATCAACATCTAGTGATAAAGAGAATTGTAAAATATATAGAAATATACACTACACTTGCTTAACTCTAATGAATTATTTTGATAATATAATAAGCTGAAACTATGTTAGTCTTTGAACAGATGCTTAATTGTAACACATCATTATAGTGGTTTTCGGTAAAAAAAAAATGTAACATGCATATAAAGCAATCAGATTTTTTTAAGGCCTTGGCTGTCGGTCCACAAAAAACAGTGCGTTGAAATCGATAAAGCATACGTTTATATTTTAGTTTTTGTCAAAAGTTTGTGATTCAGGAAGTTCTTAAGTACAACATTTAAAAACCGTGTCCAATTTACGTCATGGCCAAACATAATTTTCGTTCGATCAATCACTAAGTGTAACGTGAATCATAGACGAGTCTCATTGTGTAGACTGTAAAAACAGTCTAACACATTGGAGTGGCGTCACTTGGCTTTATGTTTTATATATTTGCGTGAACAGAAAGTTACCTTAATAGAACGACATACGATTATCATAATTAGGGGAGTTAACTGTTTGTTTTAATTATAATATTCATGAGTTTGGGAGGTAAGCTCCTTTAACGAAATACTTCTTAAGACTGACGCCTCTAGTTGCATGATTTTCATGTATGTGCCGATTATTAAGTACACATCCGATCGCGATAGTAGGTAGAATTATCGAAATATTCAGTAGTTTTGAATATAAGTATTACAAATAAAGATGGTACATGAATACTTGTAATTACATTGATTTGTGCGTCTCAACTAGATAAATCTTCCTTGTGGTAGAAAACAAAAGTTTTTCTTGCTTTTCTATTGACAAAGTAAAAACGTTTTATACCAATAAACTGATAGAGTCAATAATAATGGTATTAGAAGTGGACTAACTAACTAACGTGTAGAATTCCCATGTTGAACATTATTTAAAATTCACCATTAATACCAAAACACACACACACACACACACACACACACATATATACATATATAACTTAGAAATGTCTATACAGAATAAACTTTGTTAAAATTTATTGATTTGTCTCCAAGAAGCCCTAAAAGTTAGAAAATCATATGTAGTAGAGCTGTTTTTTTAATTATTGTTTTTCACAGAGACTATTCTTGTACAAAAGGGTCGTTTGGATGAATTAATTAAATTAACATACAATTCAAAAAGTAGTTAATATGTTAGAGTAAATTAAGGATCATGAAAGGGGTATTAATCAGACATTAATTGGAGCTAAATATTTTGATAAACAATTTCTAAAGTTCTTTAATTTTTCTGTCACTGAACAGTTAGAGTAGCAAGACAAAATACTATTAAAAACTATGGTCAGAAAATTATTGTTATTTTAATCTTCTTTAAGTTGACAGATTTGTTTTGTAATGTTTATTGTTGTTTTACTAGCCTTGCATAGTTTAGTTTCCCTCTTTCATGGCTTGAAGAAGTTGTAACTTATGTATTATGTACTCTAGGATTATCCCAAAATACTGCCATGAAACCATAAAAACAAAAACTTAAAATAAAAATCCAAGAAAATAGAACTACATTTAGCTTCCAAGTCTCACTAATCTGAGTGAGTGTGAATATTGTTTTTTAATAGTTCTCATAGTCTTACTTGATTGTAGAAGTAGTTGTGAGAAGTTGAGTTCACACAAAAAGCATAAATAAATACACACACTGTATATTAAATTAGGCTTAGCAATCCAAAACAGTGGGAAAATTGTAACTTCTGTTTCTCTGGACTTAGAAACACAAAACAAGCATCTACTCAGATCACATGAGAAGACTCGAGAAAATACGGCTGAACTAATAAAATATAAACTACTCAATGGAAAAGTGGGAATTCAAAGATTTTAGATCCACAGCAATTATTTTAAAGTTCAGTTTATAGATTTTTTTTTGTCTATTTAGTAGTAAAACATAGATCTAAACAATATTTATATCACTAACAATTGTGAACCTCAGTTTCCCCTGTAAGTATTCTTTATTTGTTGTAGTCATAAATGGATTTTGTTAGTTCTAGATGTTATTGGATTTCAGAGTTGTTTTTAAGATCTGACATCCAAATCCCATTATCCTAAACTCAATAGTCTCACATGCTTCCAGCTCATACTCAAACAGTTTTAAACAAGTAATCACATCACCAAATAACATTATTTAAGAATATGCTCAGAGTGTTTGCAGTATGGGATCATGTTACATTCCATTGTCTAGTCAAGAACAGATCTTTAAATTATTGCTGTCATAATTTTAATCTATTTCTTGAAAAGAAAAGGATCTTTTACTGTGAATTACACCCGAGCTTTTCCTCACTTCCAAATTTAGTTAGTATCATGTTTGAAGAAGATATCACAATTAAATATCTTTCCATCTTACAAACATATAGGTAGGGGAAGATTCACTTTAGTTTGATACTATACTAGCAAAAAGACGTTTTACGCTATACCATTTGTCACAAGACACATGTAATAGTAAAATATTTCTAATTCCTTTTACTGATTTCAGTAAATTAAATTTTTAATTTTACCATCCCAGAAATGAGTTTCCAAAAAAAAAATCTCTTTTATAAGCAAATGCTGATTTTATGAGACTAACTTTGATATATGAAGCTAAGTTTCTCATAACAGTCTACAGTTTTTTTAAATCTACATTGCAAAGCAAGAATCACATTACAAGAGAATACCACCAAGATGCATTATAAGAATTAAACATACAACATTAAGAGGTAATGGTTTTGATTCATTACCCTCAAAGCTTAATTAAAATGGAAAAACAAGATACAAGGCACATTTCTTTAATTAATCTGTGCTCCGGTCAGTATACCAAACTATGCAGCACAAGTACAATGGTTTATGTCCCTTTATTGCAAAAAAAAAATGTATGATCTACATTTTGAGTCGTGGACAAATTACAAAAGTGATTGTCGACAATCAAATAGCTTTGCACAAAATTCAATAAACAAACAAAGTTACAATAATCTGATAGTTTCTTTTCAGTTTTTTGATACAGTGTAATATTCACAAATTTCTGTTATTTTAGTGTCGAGACTTCGTAGAAGCAGGTGCCATTCAAGGTCAAACTCCAAGTGATGTTGTAGCAGCATCTGACATTACATTCAGCTGTGTGTCTGACCCCCAGGCAGCAAAAGAGGTAACAGAAGAAAATATATTTGATTCTGTAGCAAAACTACTTACTACAGCTTTTGAGCATTAAGTATTCTTTCTAATTCAACATTCTCATGTTTGATAATCCTCAACATTTGCTTAATGTTGGTGTGGATCTAGATTAATTATTTAATGTGATCAATAATAATTAATTCTACCATTCATGTTGGGTAGAGAGTACATTATCATACACTTCTGTTGGAGCAACTTTTTCAAATATCTTATGAAACTGTATTTTCTTTTGAAACTAGAATTTATATCCCCAGATTATAATGAGTTATATAAGAATTTTTCTGATATTAAAACTGATATAATAGTTGGTGTTCGGAAACTGTGGAGTACTAAAGGAAATGAAAAGAAACAAAGGCTACGTGGAGATGACCTCAGTGGATCCTGAAACCTCTCAAGATATAGCAGAGGTGAACAAACTCACTTATTTTTATTACTTGTATCAGGTATTAGATATATCCCCAAGAATAATTTTCCATTGATGTGGGGTTTAAATATGGAACTTGTTCCCTATAAAAGGAACATCACCCCAGAATAATTAATAGCATCAAAACCAACATTTTAAAGTATATAATGTTTTTGCATAGGGTTAACATTAAGAAGTGGAATAAATGTGAGAAGTTTCATTAAAGTGAACCCAGTTTTAACATTTCTTTCACTGTCATAAAGATACATGGAAAATTTCTTCTATCTAAGAAGGGACAAACTGATTCTGTTCGCTCTTTATGCTCTATTAGATATACTGACTTGTATCTCCTTTATTTTATAGTTGCCGTGATGAGTTGCAGGAATATAAAATCTCTTTAGAAATAAGCAGTTAACCATATTTTGATTACAAAACGACACACCTTAGCAATGTTATCAGGCCTCCCAGTGTGCCCTACTTTCCCTTATTATTCAGCTAAACTCCTATTTATTTTCGAGTTTTTGATTAAAATTTTGGTTTAGCTCAACATGAAATGCAAAACTTGTTGCAAGTATGCACATAGTCATATTTTTTAGTATAGTCTAACTGCTCCCTCTGTTAACTTAAGAGAGCAAATTGCTTCAAAATCTAACAGCTTGCACAAATTATAGCTGTGGCATCAGCAACAGATACTTTCTTTCACAAAATGAGCAAATTGTCTTCTCTGCTTTCTGTAAGTGACTTTAGAGTGAACATGACCTCCATCCCAGTGAAAAACAACTGAGGGGTGATCAAATTCTCCTTTAACTCAATATGTTTTGAGTTTTAAAACTGAAGCAAATGCACCAGCTTTTATTAAATTGTACTTCTTATCATGGTTGCTGTTTACATGAACTCTAGCTGCATATTATTTGATTTTTGTGTCTAAAGGGTGTGCATGTTTCTGTTAGTCATGTCCTGAAATAACTAGACATTATTAATTTTATGCTAATCTATCATACATGCACTTGGTGTTCTATTGCTTGTGCAAATTGTGGCCGTGGCAGTGATGCCTGAGACAGCCTATTTAACAAGTTTTATATTTTCAGGGTAATGATGCCTGAGACAGCCTATTTAACAAGTTTTATATTTTCAGTGCAATGATGCCTGAGACAGCCTATTTAACAAGTTTTATATTTTCAGGGTAATCTAGAAAACTAAAATTCCACATGAAAAAAACATGACTTCAACACCAATGGTTTACCCCTTTGTAGACAATAATGATCATGAACTTTCATGTTGTTGTCAGCCATTGCCAAATGACCAATTTAACTGTTTCTGTAGTATTTGTCAAAAGACAGTAGCTTGAAATAACAGTGGCAAACAGCAACTCTTGAAATAGATACAGATAGATAAACTCAAAGAACTGTTTACGGTGAAGTTTAGTTTTAATCAACAAAAACTGTCCTACAGAACAGAGAGTAGTAATTAAAATGTAGGTAGTTATGTAAAAACATGCCTGTGAGCTCCCTACAAAATCTAAATTATCCCTATTTTGCTTTAGTTTTCCTGAAAAGCCTGTTGGAATATCTTTGTTATTCTAACAGATAGATCCTGATACATCAGCCTTTTTTAAAATCCGTAATGTACGATTTCTACATAAAATGCAAAATATTATGGGGTTTTCATAAATCCTCACAATTTCTTCTAGCAAACGTAGGCTCTATGAATATGACTCATGACATAAAAAGGACAATTATATTAATTAAAGGACTTTTAACTATTCTAATCAACATTTTGTATGACATTATGCTGATCTAATATTTTAATTCATTCTTTTGTGTGGAGTTTAGGTGTCAGACTAAGATAATTCTATTGGCGAAGCCCTTACAAAATAAATGTATATTGTCTGCTTTTGGGTTGGGTGTGGCTGAGTAATTAGCATGCTTATACTGTGAATCTGAGTGTTCATTGCCACAAAAATGTGTTCCACTCTTTGGGGCCATTGGTGCACTATAAAAATAATGTTTAGATCACACTATTCAACCAGATAAGTGTATTTCAAGTGTTGGTAGTGGGTACTGTTGACCAGCTGCCTTCCCTCAAGTCTGTAAGCTCAAAATTATGGATGGAGGTGTGGAGTTAGCCCTTTTTATTGCATTGCATGATAATTCTAAAAACTAAAATATTCTGCTTTCATTGTAATTGTTATATTCTTTGGAAGCACTTACATGAATAAATTTCATTCAAACTTAGCATATGATCAATGCTTATATTAGTTTTCTCTCTCTCAATTGACTTTTTTTGTATGTATGTCAAATGGTTTTGAAATAGTCTCTCTGTAATGCTTGTAAAAGAAAAGTGTTTTTTGTGTTCATTTTAATTTACCCAGCGTTAAATTAGAGGAATGCATCAACAGTTTCAATAAGTGTTACTGTCTTCCTTGTTTTAGGCTATTCAAGCTCAAGGTGGACGATATTTAGAGGCTCCAGTTCTAGGTTCCAAGAAACCAGCTGAAGAAGGAATGTTGATTATATTGGCAGCAGGAGACAAATCAGTCTTTGATGACTGTACCACTTGTTTTCAAGCTATGGGCAAACATGCCTTTTATCTAGGTGGGTTGTCATCTTATCTGTTATATGATATATTCTAACTTTTAGAATTTCTTTGTAATAATCTAACTTTAACTGTTATCAGTATATGTGATACGATGTATTTATTACGCCAAAATTCAAAATACTACTGAATTCTCAAGTAATAAATAGAATGGCTATTCTAATAAAATCCACTTGACAGGCTACAAAATATTTTATGTAGTTACCTGATCCTATTTACAAGTTATTGCATTTTAATTCACTGTATGTTAGTATTGGACATTCCAACCATCATCAAAACAAGACTGATTCGATAGATCCAATATGTTAATATATTATTTGAAAGCACTGTCCTTACTATTGTTTAATAATATTTAAACATTACGTTAATCTTATTTGTTTGCCTCAGTTGTTCTAAATACTGTGAACAGAAAGACACATTTTAAAGTAAAAAACCTATGTACACTCTTACTAAATTTTACATAGTTGTAAGTAGCTTCATTTCATTCTTGACGAAGATAGTCTGCTGTTTAAGTTTATGTTTCAGCAAGTACGAATCCAGTCTGAAAAGTATTAACTCTAAATCATTAATACCAAAGGATAAGTAACAAAATATGTGTTGTTGTTTTTTAATTGGTTATCAGTCTATGCTGCTTTGTTAGTGGTTTAAAATGTAATTCTGTCTAAGTTTCTGTTTCAGCAAATTAAAATTCTAGTTGTGAAACTTACAAGTTACATCTTTTAAGTCCACTTCATCAACATCAAGTATATTATAGGTCATGGGTTAACGTGTTTCTTTTTCAGTTAGTTACAAAATTTAAGAAAACTATTTCTAATAGTATTTTTCTTTTAGCTGCTTATCTTCTCGTAAACATTTTCATAACAGAAACCTCATATATGACGTATGTTCATTTTACAAGCCACTTGCAGTTTAGATTGTTACGAGACAAGATAGAAACTATTTTACATTGTTATTTATAATGATAGGTTGTAAACTGTTTGTCAGATGTATTAATGATACATATATTCAAACAAGTTTAAGTATATTTATATCTTTCTAAGAGGTAAAGAATTTTCAATATGCGTGTTGAAAATAGCTTAATGTCAGTCAACACCTACAGTAACATCCACAATCATGCAATTGATCTGAATATTTTTCTTTTCCTAAATATGAATTCTATGATTAATTGTTTGATTTTGTTGTTATTATTTTTTCAAAAGCAAATATTTAAAAGTATAACCAACAACTTGCAGCTATGGTATGATTGTAACCTGACAATTAAAAAAATGATTAAAGTCTCTTTAAAGTAAAGAAAAGTATGTGGTCTCTTTTTGGAAAAACAGCCTTTCTTAAAGTTTTGGTTTCTGTAAATTCAGTGTATTTATGAAATGTTTAAAAGCAAAATTAAGATTTACAGCAATTAGAACTAGCAATCATGTAGTATCTGATCAAAATGTACACCAGGTGTCTTAAATTAGTGTTTTACACAGAGAAATATTAACAGTCCATTACTGTTTCTACAATGATTTTGAACTTTTTTAATGTCCACTTCATGGTTATTAGGAAAGGTGGCCAGGGTATAAATGTTACATGTGATTAGTTCTTTACAAAACAATATAAAGTTTTGCCAGTTTGTTAAATTTGACGTATATTTTGGTGGTTTCCAATGAATGTAAAAGTTGTGTTGGGATTTTAATGTATATATATACATATATATATTGTATTGTTTTTCTAGGAGAGGTTGGTAGTGGATCTAAAATGAACCTAATTGTCAACATGATCCTAGGAACAACATTAGGAGCATTAGCTGAGGCTATGGCATTGGCAGATAGAGCTGGTTTGTCTCAGAAAGATCTTATGGAGATATTAGGACTTGGTTTCTTAAACTGTCCAATAATCATTGAAAAAGGCCAAGGTAAATCTACAGAGGAAAGTTTACATGACAGTTCTAGAAAAAGGTTTTGCTTCAATTTATTTTCATGTTCAGTTACTGGAGAAAGAAACTGAAAGATGAGAAAATTTAGACAGTTTGATTAGTGATATATATATATATATATATGTATGTATGTAGTGAAGTGTGTCAAATTTTAGTAGATCAATGTTCGTGAAGCTAGGGTAAATTAATAACTGGCTTTATACTTATAAACATCTAATTATTGTGTTTAAAAATTTAATTGGTTTCCATGTGCAGTATTTATTCAATTTACTTTAGTACATTAATAAATATTTCAAGATCAAGGTTTATTTAGGACTGCTACTCTCTCTCTCTCGTGCACACACTCATCACATGGGGATTCTTAGTGCATGCATAGACAGTTATTTTGCCCATTCTTTAAATATTCAACAAATATATACAATACCACAAGATCATCTTGAAGTGAATAATATCCATTTGTAATATTAAGAATAATGTCATAATTTGATAATTAATTTAGCCCGAGATTTTTTATTTTTTTTTTCAAATTAGAGATTTCTAGGATTAATTGTACTAATTAAGTTTAAGTACTTTGGTAGCAAATATTTTTTAAGCTTTGAATCTTTAACCCAGGTGGGGATAAAAAAATTATAATATATATATATATACTTAAAACTTATTTATTGTCAGATATACAGAGTATAATATTTGTGGTTATAAGAATTCTCATGGTTAACCTAGCATCATCAGTTACAACAACTACCAACATTGTAACCATAGATATTATACTGTATATATATGTAACAATCAACAAGTTTTAAGTTTTACATAATAGGGTACTTCCTTTAGTGATTTATATATATATATATATATATATGTGTGTGTGTGTGTGTATATTAGTTTAGGTGTGTTTATAAATAACTAAATTTAATTATTTATATAGTTAAGTACTTAACCCTATTGACTGCAGCTGCTACTAAATGCATGCAGTAATT